CAATTTTTTATGAAATTATGCTGATAATTTTTATGCTTAAATGACATTCTAGTATTGAGAGCACTCAGTGTTTGCTTCTGAGATGTGCCTTTGAACATGCTATTGATTCTCTAAAATAATTTTGGTGAAGGATGCATTGTGTCTGAACATCTGTCCAGAAAATAGCTAATTGATGTATTTTCCACGTATGAAAAATGATATAAGGAGCATTTCCCCTACTAAGTTTCCATAAATTTTATTTTGTTTTTCTAAGGAGTGTTTTTCAATATAGCCAGTGTTCATATAGGCAACTTCACCTTAATGGGAGGGAAGGGTGTCATGAGTATTTTGGCAGAGTTCTCCCTCTTTAGGCAAAATAAGACTAAGAGGTTATGAGCAACTATTTTTTCCTGCCTCTATAACTGAAACAATATTCAAATTTATAGGTGAATTTTATTTGTAGCAAATAACTTCCTTTATAAACCATAAGTTTATCTTGTAGGTGGCCTCCTAAAATAACCTTTATTTGATTCTATACACTGCTCATGTATTGGCTTATGCCCGACCTCCCAGGTTGCAAACATATACAGTAGGACCCAATTATTAAAGAAAATAAACTATAAAATATTACAGATGTTAGTAATAAATTACTTAGTACTATTCATATTGGAGCAGTAATAAATTACAATATTAATAGTGGGAGTATTTAAAAATGGTCCCACTATTCACTAAGACATTTAATCTTTCCCATGTTCCAAATGAAATACATTATTGCTTTCTATTCTTACAAAAGGTAGGTGTTATTGATATTGTGTTTTATTCATTTGACTGGTTCTATTCAATATAAAGGTTAAAAAATAAAGGCAAAGCACCTATATACATAGTATTATCTAGCACCCAATCCTTACTAAATGTAAGAAAATTATCTGTTTTGAAAGTCAGTTATATCCTTAAAATAATATATCAAATAACCTGAAATAGAATATGCTAAAAGCAAAATGACTAATCCTTACAAGTTTTGAAGTTCAAAAAAAGAGTAATTTAGAAGTCTATGGAAGAGGTTGGTTTGGGGGAAGGGTTGAATTAATGAAAGCAAGGGAAAAAATGGAAGAAAAAAAAAGGGGGAGGAGGAAGGATGAGAGTGGAGGCATTGCAGTCAAGGGGCAAACATTCCAGGACTGAAGTAGTAATGTAAGACAATATTGAGGAAACCATATTGGCTTAAATGGTTTATATAAAGTAGAGGTTTTCAGATTATGTTCTGATGACTTCCTACAGGGGCTCATTGGCAAGAGGGTGAGAAGGCTTTAAAGGAAGACAGTGTTAAAGGTATATTAGGAAGATTGGTCTGACAGTGGAGCCAGAGGAGTGTGCTGGGAAACTAGTGAGTAAGTCAGATGAGATGACATGAACCTAAGTGTATTATTAGCCATAGGTTTGAAACTAAAAGAATGGTGGGATGCATGAATTCTCACCAAGGGAAACCAACAGGACTGGGTTATAGATTGGGTTCATGTTGTAAGCAGGGGAAGCAATCCAAAGAGCTATTCCCTGACAGAAATGAGGAATCTCAGGTTGAGTTTAAATTCAGTGGTACTAGAGTATATGGGACTATGGAAAATAATACATTGATTTTAAACTGATTTTAAAGGAAATACAAAGTGGATTGAAATTATTAACTTAAATATGTAAACTGTAACTAACTTCGATGGGTAACTGTGGGATTCCACTTGAGTCAGCAGTGAGGATGAACACAACAGTAGTTCTGTTCTCATTTATACCTGATTTCTTAAGGTTAGAGATTAGTTCCTTTCTTAGAAATTACTAAACTGGAAATCTTCTCTGCCTTTTGTAGGGGGAGGGGGAGGCTATATTACATTGAAAAGCCCTGGGTCCTGTGGCTAAACTGAAAATCCCATTATCCATAATCTAGGGTTTGGCTTCTGGTGAAGTAGCATTCACAGGGTAGGTAGTATTTTTAGGTAAAGCAGAGACTGGTACCAATATGGCTGCCAGTTGGTATGAATACAATTCCCAGCAGGAGAAGACTTGGTATTCATTAGATCTGGTGACGTCAGACCATACTGCAGGCTTCAGGGATAAGAAGGTTACCCGGGACTTACTGCCCCTCACCAAAATAAAATAAATAAACTAGAAACAAACTAATAATTTCAGATGTAGGTATTTATTTGCTCTCAGTTCAAAAAGGCTTATTTAGTATAAATGCAAACACTTATTTAATATAAAACTTCATAAATATACAGTATGTGTTATGGGTTGAATTATACCCCATTGCCCCTCAAAAATCATATTTTAAAGTCCTAACCCCCCCATACCTCAGAATGTGACTAAAAGGGCAGTTAAGTTAAAATGAGGTCCTTAGAGTGGACCTTAATCCACTCTGACTGGTGCTGTTACAGGAAGAGACCAGGACACACACAGACAGGAAGGGATGACCATGTGAAGGCACAAGGAGAAAATAGCCATCTGCAGTCCGAGAAGGGAGGCCTCGGAAGAAACCAGCCTGCCAGTACCTTGACCTTGTATGTCTAGCCTCCAGAATAATTATGAGAAAATAATTATCTGTTGTTTAAGCCACCTAGTCTGGGGTATATTATTATGGCAACCCTAGCAAACATAATGTAATCTGTACTTCAGCAAACTTCATAAACCAAATCAAACGATAACAGTAACCTAGAAAAATATTTGTTAACATATAAAAATAGACAAAGAAGGGCCTAGAATCAATATTCCAGTAACAATGGCAATGACATTGTCATTGACAATATTGCACTAACAATGTCAATGCCGATAATAATGTCAATGACAATATTTCAGTAACAATGAGCATACCAAGCACCCAGATCTTGGCCTTAAATATAATCCTCCAATAAAAGAAATGAAAGCATCTTGGAGAAACAGCTGATTCTAGGAATGAGGCAGAAAGTACTCAGTAGGAGCCTGGTACATAATGCAGTGCCAGAAAGTAACAAATCATTTTATGTTTTGTTTTGTTTTGTCTTTAAAAGCCCTCTCAGTTATAGAGGTATGTAAAGTGGACATGGGAACCCACTGAAAATCTCCCAGTGTTCAAATCTTTGAGCAATAAATAAAATATTATTGGAATAGAACTCAAGTATAAAATAAACATGTCTGTAGTGATACAAATAAATCATTGGATAAATAACTAACTAGGGGAGAATAGACAAAGCTCCTGTGTAGAAAAATTCCAAATAACTTATGTAGGTACTCTGCCCTCAGAATGGAGCATAAACCCCCATCAAAATGTGGCCTTTGCATAGTGACTTCTAAAGAGTACAGCACAGAAAAGGGGGAAGAGGGAGCACTTCACAGTGGCCAAGCTAACAAGCAATGAATGCCTTAGCCTTCTGGTCAAGGGTAACATCAAGAGTGGTGTGTTGATAGTATCTGTCCTTGATAAAATATGATGAAATGGAACTTTACCTCTGTAGTCCTCCTCCAAAAAACCTATACCTCCGTCTAACCATGAGGAAAACAGCACACAAATTCCAGTAGATGGGCCTCCTACAATTAACTTGACCAACACTTCATTAAACTGTTAGAGGTCATTTCCCAAGGAAAGTCTGAGAAACTGTTAGAGCCAAGAGGAGTTAAGGGGGCAAAAAACAGTTTAATATGCAATTCTGGATGAGATCCTGGGACAGAAAAAAAAAAGGATGCTAGGTGAAAACGAAAGAAATCTGAGAAAACCCTGGACTTCAGTTAATAAATATTAATATTGGTTAATAATTGTGAGCATACTAATGCAAGCTGTTAATAATAAGGAAAACTTGTTACAGGGTATATGGGAACTGTACTGTCTTCCCAACTTTTCTATAAAACTTTAAAATATTCAAAAATAAAAGATTCTTTTTAAAAACAGGCCAAAAAAAGACAAGAGATAACAGGATGTCATATACCCCCCGGCATCAAAAGGCCAGTAAATACTTGAAAAAAATTCATACTTACTGGTGTTCAGACATGCACACTAAAACATCTATGAGATTGTTACTTTTCTATTTATTTAGCCGGCAAACTTTTTTCAAAATGATGATACTCATGATTGGTAACGTGTAGGAATGTAAAGTGGAACTACCTCTCTGGAGTATCTTGGTAATAGATAAAAATGGGTATATTATTTCAAGCAATAACATCACAACCAGTTAGTGAATATCAATATACATGGAAGTGTTTTTCAGTTTTATGTGCAATAGCCAAACCCAGGAGATTAACCAAATGCTGATAAATATGGGATTGTTTAAATAAACAATGGTAATCTCAGTTTAGGCTACAATGATGATATTAAGAATAATACAGTAGAATAATATTTGAAGACAAAAACTTCCATGATGTAGTATGTGAAAATGCCAATTGTAAACCATATATATTCTGTGTCATGCCATTTCTGTGTCTTTTCTTTCATTATATATATATATGTACACATCTCTCAGACCTGGGATTTAGTGAAATAACCTTAGCAGATGGCATTAAAACAAGTCCTACTTGTGACTTAGCTATTTTATAAATGCTTAAAATAATGTTATTTTAATGTGTGTGTTGCAGTAAATGTATCAATCCTTGTTTCCCAGCACTGTCATTATAATTAGAAGTGAATGACCGCCTTTCCATTGCCACAAACTCTGTGTGTGTGTGTGTGTGTGTGTGTGTGTGTGTGTGTGTGATATTTGATGTCTATTACACATGGATAAAAGTGGGGTTTTGCATACAGTAAAGTTTTGTCTGTGGTTACCTCTCACTAGTAGGGTTGGGACTCTTTTTTTGCATTTTTCTACCAAATATTAAAATTATTTTTTGTTAAAAAAATCAGTGTATCTTCCTCTGCTTTTCTGAGAGATTTAGTTTATACACAAGTTTGTATTCATACAAATTTACAGTGTCATATGTACCTTCCATGTACCTTCTATTTTTCTGCTAGGCGATATTTTCATGAGCTCTTAAAAGCACTGTTTGATTAATCATCTTGTACTTTTTACTTTTAGGTTGGTGTTTGGAATGCTGTATCCTGCCTATTATTCATACAAAACTGTGAAAACCAAAAACGTGAAGGAATATGTAAGTATAGTTTCATGAGTAATTAATTTTAATTTAATGTACCCATTATGTACAACACTAGAAAAACTGTCATTATTTTAGAAACAGCTGGCATAATATTTTGGGTTAAAAGTGTAATATAAATGAAGTACTGAAATTAGCCTTTTTTTAAAAGATTTTATTTATTTATTTTTGGAAGAGGAAAAGGGAGGGAGGAAGAGAGGGAGAGAAACATCAATGTGTGGTTGCCTCTCACATGCCCCCTACTGGAGTCCTGGTCCACAATCCAGGCATGTGCCTGACTGGGGATTGAACTAGCGACCCTTTGGTTTGCAGGCCAGCGCTGAATCCACTGAACTACACCAGCCAGGGCTGAAATCAGTCTTCTTTAAAAGTAATTTTGAATATAATTCCAAAATGGAATGTCAAAAATAGTGCACTGTGAGTTGGCATTTAAATAAGTGTGATTCCCAAATGAGTAATTGGATATCTCTTATTCATTTAGTCTGTAAGGTCCAGTATAAATGAGGCTGGGGGATTGTCTGGTTTTATAGTCTTATAAATTTATAGGTACACTGAGAATTTATCTCTTTGGCCCCAAAACCTTTTCCTTTTTTCGTAGGTGTTCTGTCACTTTCTAATTGATTTAAATATCCATATACCTCATTGCTACTGACAGTTGCAATCATCAGCCTGCTTTCTGTTTGTATGGAATTAACCATTCTGGATATTTCATATTGATGGAATTATGTGTGACCTTTTGTGTCTGGCTTCTTTCACTTAGTCTGTTTTTCAAGATTTATCTGTATTATAACAAACATGTATCAGTATTGCATTCCACCCTAGGGCTGAATAATGTTCCACAGTTTGCATACACAACATTGTTTCTGCTTTCATCCACTGATGAGCATCTGGAATATTTCTGCCTTTTGGCTGTTCTGAATGGTGTCATCATACACATTCATGTACAATGATTTCTTTGAGTACCTGTTTCATTTCTTTGGGTTATATAGCCATGGTACTTTGTAAGGGATCTTGGATGGTAGCTTAGTCATCCAGTTGTTTAAATGGTCAGAGATCAGATAATGATTCTTTATAGTACTTTATTTAGGGTCCTTTTTTTTTCCCCCGGAAAGGGGGGGGGGGCAGTGTGAAACTTTTATAATTAACCCACTTTGAACTTTTATAGTTGTTTTTTCTCTTTTCTATAAAACTAATTTTTGAAGTGAAGTATGTACAAATCAGTCAGAATGGTAGAATATATCTAGCAATGGGAGAGAACTTGCTTAGTTGAGCTCCGAAATTGTTCTATCTTTTTATTATATATATCTCTTAGATCTAGGGTTGGTGAAGTAGCCCTAAGAGATGGAACAACTTTATGTCCTAGTAATATAAAGTGATTTTATAAATGGTTTGAAGGGACATATTTTAATACATGTTATAGTAAATGCTCCAACTATTGTTTTATCGTTCTGATATACATTCATTTTTAGAAACAAGCACTTATCTCCTGTTAACAGTGCTTCTCAGGCTACCCATGGTAAAGGACCAATTTTCATTTTTTTAATTTCCAGAAAGTCATAGACCAATAGTCTATGTAAGACCAATAGTTTTATAAGATAAAATTAAAACTAATTACTATTAAAATGACAGGAAAACCCAAAAACATGAAATACAACCCATGTTTTTTTATTACTACATTCAGTAGATGTGAAATTACAGTACTGTCAATTTTTTATAGGAAAAGATTAAATACTTTTGCCATTTGTGACAACATGGGTGGGTTTTGAGAACATCATGCTAAGCAAAATAGGTCAGAAAAAGCTAAGAACCATATGACTTCACTCATATGTGGGATATAAAACTAAAACTCATAGACACAGACAACAGTGTGGTAGTTACCACAGGGAAGGGCATTGGGAGGTCCAGTAACATGGGTCAGATATTTAATGACAGAAAATTATTTGAGTGGTAAACACACAATGCAATCTATAGATGATGTATTATAGAAATACACACTAGAGCCCTGGCTGGCGTAGCTTAGTGGATTGAGCGCGGGCTGGGAACCAAAGTGTCCCAGGTTCGATTCCCAGCCAGGGCACATTCCTAGGTTGCAGGCCATAACCCCCAGCAACTGCACATCGATGTTTCTCTCTCTCTCTCTATCTCTCTCTCTCTCTCCCTCCCTCCCTCCCTTCCCTCCCTAAAAATAAATAAATAAAAAATAAAAAAATCTAAAAAAAAAAAAAAAAAGAAATACACACTAGAAACCTTTGATCCTGTTAACAACCAATGTCACCTACAAATTTAATAGGAATTAAATAGAGCAAAACAGCCTTATACTAATTCATAGACGACACTTTGCCCTACCATGAAATATCTTAATTTAATTGGAGTTTTCTATTAATAGATAAAAATGAGTTTCTCTTCATTTCCAAGTACCATGAAAATATGAATTAAGATGGGATTGTAATTACTGACTAGTATGTAGTAAATGTACTGCTTAGTATAGTCCTCCTTTTTTGGAATGCTTGTGATACTGTTATTAACTGTGGTCTTCTGAATCTGATTAACTGTACAAGTGAAGTACAAGGTAATATGTTTCTCAATTTTTGGTCCGTTTCATCTATAAAGTAGTATAGACCCAGGATATAAGATAACTGTGGCTCTGCATGTGGGTCTTTGTGCATATATTTGTGCTTAAGTTATTCTCCTATCTTCCTTCACAAATCTATGTGACTTCGTTTCAGCGGGGAAAGTTAAGTACAAATTTAAAAGTTGAGGTGAGACACTCAGATAATATGAGGGTATTATCAGCATATACATAAATACCATCCCCTAAAATTAAAGGTAAGAAGATGACAATAAGAAATATAAAGGCATAATAAATTGTGATAAAAAGAAATAGACCTTTCATGTGTAAATTAATGTTGTAAAAAAGATGGTATTATTTAGGGCCTGGCCTAAGAACCATTATAAAATATTAGTCCCTTACATCAATTTAACTTTGTTAATGTTAATTTTTTTTTTAAGATTTTATTTATTTATTTTTAGAGAGGTAAGGGAGGGAGAGAGAGAGAGAGAGAGAGAGAGAGAGAGGGAGAGAAACATCAATGTGCGGTTGCTGGGGGTTCTGGCCTGCAACCCAGGAATGTACCCTGGCTGGGAATCGAACCTGGGACACTTTGGTTCCCAGCCCATGCTCAATCCACTGAGCTACGCCAGCCAGAGCTGTTAATGTTAATTTTTAAAGACTCAAAAAACATGGATTTGTGTGTTTTATTCCCTTAATACAACACTCAAATTTTTATTACTGAATTATTCTATAAATTTGGGGTTAATAAGAATGGTCTGACCCCGAAATTTTAATTGTGCTTTATAAACTAAAGATAATTTAACCTATGAAAGAGAATTCATTAACATGCTTACTCAAACTAATTGAAAAACTATAAAATGGTGTGTTGATAATATCTATACATACCTATTTGTGTGTGTTTAGTTATATCCTTTACATACTGCTTTGCACAATTGATTTTAGTGATTAACTCATTATTAACAAAATGGGAAATACCTGTGCATAATTTTGTTTTAGTAATGTGAGTCTAAAAAAGGTTGTCCTGACCATCTCTTTACAAATATCAAAATAATGAGCAATTGAAGAGAAACTAGGGAAGCAGAAGGCAGGTGTCTGGAGTTGGTTTGGTAATTACATGGTATCACCTCTGCTTGACATAAAATGAGAGCTAAAAGCAAAAATGGTCAGGTACTGAAACAGGAAAGGCAGAACATCTGCCTTTGACGAAGAAATATGATACAACTCTGAAGACCTCCTGTGACCAACTTGCATGCCATCAAGGCTGCTGGAGAGACTAAACCGCAATATCATATTAGAATAACATCTTACATTTCTATAATTCACTAACAATTTCAAAATACTTTAGTATTGTGTCCTATTGCTTCTGTAACAAATGACCACTTAGTGGCTTAAATTAACACAAATTTATTTTCTTACAGTTTTATAGGTCAGAAATCTGAAATGGATCCACAGGGCTACATTCCTTCTGGAGGCTCTAGTGAAAAATTGGTTTACTTACCCTTTCTAGCTTCTACAGACTGCCCACATTCCTTGACTTATGGCTCTAGTGCTCTCTCTTCAAAGTGAGATGTTGAGCTGAGACCTTCTCACACTGTGATCTCCCTGGTTCTCTCTTCTGCCTTCCTCTTCGCTTATAAGGACGCTTGTGATTACAATGGGCCCACCTGACTAATCCAGGATCCTCTCCCTATCTCAAGGTCATCTGATTAGCAACCTGAATTCCATCAGTAACCTGATTTCTCCTTTACCATGTAAACTAACTCATTCACACATTTCAGCACAGGAAGTGGACCTCTCTGGGGGGTGGTGAGGAGACATTATTCTGCATACCACAATATCTCACTGATCCTCACTACAAGTCAATAAAGTAGGTGGGAAAATATTCCAACCTTATAGGCTCAGAAGTAAATTAACTTGCCCGGGTCATATGGATCATTGAAGAAGGAATTGGATATCTTCTGTTTCTAATACTTTATTCTTCTTCCATGCTGTTGTACCTTTAGAAAAATAGGTGAGGATCCTAGCTTCACCAAAAAAAAAGGTTGAAATAGCTTTCACAACCAGCCAGTGAATGTGCTTCTGATTTAATTCCAAGGTAGACCTTCAGGGGCAACAACTATGTAGGTATTTTCCAAGAAGGGCAGTGAGGCAGCTTAACCAGTTCTAGAGCAGGACCCATAAGCATCTAAATCAACTGCGATCAAAATCGTTGAAAATGAAATTGGAAGTTTTTGAAAGTTTGTAAAGTCTTGGCAGTTCTTTAAGTATTTCCAACTTAAATTTACTTCTGACAAAAATGTGTATATTATTTTCTTGCTGAGTTTCAACTAAGCTTAGTTATCCAGTTTAGCCTTCAATGATAACAGTTTTGTCAGAGCTCTGTCCTCATAAAATTTTCCTGTTACCGTGATTCCATCCAAATTTG